GGGGGGGGGGGTCGGAGGATCTTTCCCTCCTCTCCGCCGATCCCTCCGGGGACATTGAGGCCTACCGCGACCCTCTGGCTCCCCCTAGTGGACTGAAGAGGGTCACACAGAAAGACTAACCAGACTCGGGTTGGGTGATGAGCTTTGTGAGTCTTCTAGGTGCCGGACTCTGGCTCTTCTTTCGAGGCTACACTGGCACCGACCAGTGTTCCCTCTCTACGCTGAGTTTGTGTGAGCTAGCTCATCGTTTTTTAGCCTCGGGCTCACAGGTTGCCTCGATGACACTGTCCAACCATCTCATCCTTTGCCGTCCCCGTCTTCTTTGACCTTCAATCCTTCCCAGCATCAGGGTCTTCTCCAGTGAGTGCTCCCTTCTCATTTGGTGGCCAAAGTATTTGAGCTTCAGTTTCATTATCTGGCCTTCCAGGGAACAGTCAGGGTTGATTTCTTTGAGGATTGACTGATTTGATCTTCTTGCAATCCAAGGGACTCTCAAGAGTCTTCTCCAGCACCATAGTTCAAAAGAATCTATTCTTCGGTGCTCGGCCTTCCTTATAGTCCAACTCTCACAGCCATACATTAATTTATGCAGCAGCCAAATTGCTTGCTCACAACTTTAATGCCGGTAGCTCACAAAGTAGAATTTTTGCTCACAAGACTCCACAGCTTAGAGGGAGCATTGACAGCGACCAGTCTTCATCTACCTGCAGCTTTACACCTGCAGGCCAAAGCTTCTCCCCAGAATCAAAGGGGGCAGGTCTCTGAGGCGTCCGCCCCTGCTTCCTCCACCTGGATGGTTAAGTGTGCGGACTCTAATCCGGGAGGACCAGGTTTGATTCCCCCACTCCTCCACTTGCACCTGCTGATGTGACCTTGGGTCAGTCACAAGCTCTGGCACAGCTGTCCTTGAAAAAGAGCAGTTTGTGTCAGAGTTCGCTCCGCCCCACCCACCTCACAGGGTGTCTGTTATGGGGAGGGGAAGAGAGAGGAGTTTGTAAGCCACTCTGAGACTCCAAGTGAAGGGCGGGGTATAAATCCAATCTCTTCTTCTTCTTCTCTCCAGTTGCCCCTGAAGCGTCCCGAGGGGGACTGGCGGCTGCCGCTGCTTCCCCCCAGAGGCCGATGATGCAGCAGAGCAGGGAACTCTCTCCTTCCCCGACAGCCCCCCTCAAGGGGTTGGGAACCAGCTCAGCCCCAGGCCGGTAGCTACAGTGCAGCATCTCGGTGCCTGGCCCCCCTGACTTAACACCAAGCCCCCCCCCAACTTCCCATGCAGCCCAGCCGTCCTGACTTCCATTTTAAAATTTAATTTGTGGGGCTCACTTGGGGGTGTATGTGTGGGGTGCCCCTGACTTATTTAAAGGCCCCCCAAATTAAAAAAAAATCGTGGCTACGGGCCTCCTCAGTCCTTGGGGGCGGGGAGGGACTGGTAAAGGGCCGGGGGGCAGCTGCGACTTCTGGGGCCCGGAATGACTCGCTTCTCCCCCCCCACTTCCCCCCCCCACAGCTGCCCACTTTCTCTACCAGGGGAAGCTCGAGTGCCGCTTCGCCAACGGGACTCACGGGGAGGTCCGCTTCCTACAAAGATACATCTACGGGCGGGAGGAGTTCGTGCGCTTCGACAGCCACCGCAGAGAGTACGAGGCCATCACCAAGCTGGGCGAGCCCGACGTCCCCGCCTGGAACAGCCGGAAGTCCTGGATGGACTACGTGCGGGGCCAGGTGGACGCCTTCTGCCGCGCCAACTACAAGATCGAAAAGGGACGGAGCGTCACCCTCACCAGGAGAGGTGGGGGGGATGTCCAGCAGGAGCGCAGGGAGGGGGGCCTTTTAACTCCCACCCTTAAGGGCCCTCCCCACCAGCGACACAGGTGGGGGAAGAAGTCAAAGCCGGACCCTTGCAGATCCCTACCTAGGCCCGTAGCCAGGATTTTTTAAGTTGGGGGGGCATTTAAATTTCTTAGGGGGCACTGGCTAATCAAATTAAAGGAATACCCAGCTCCTTCCCCACACCTGCTGCCACTTGGGGGGCCCAGGGCTGGATGGGAAGTCAGGGGGGCTTGCCATTAAGTCAGGGGGCCTAGCCCCAAGATGCCTGTTGGAGTTTCAAGTTGCTTACACTTCAGTCATTACAGAGTTAAGTGTTGTTTGTTAGGAAACAGGATGTTACTTACATAATGTATTCTACGGCGGGAAGGTTTGTGGGAGTTGTTTAGCCTAATGAAGTGACCTGTAATCTTTGGTCAACTAACAACTTGCTTGCGGAAATGCTTTTATCTAGCATTCATGTATTCACAAGGTTTATAGCTCTTTGTGTGAAGCAGACAGGAAGCTCCCCTCTAGAAGCCAACACAGATAGGAAAGATGTAGCTTTTAGCAGTTTGGCCAGGGATCCTGGAGGGTTTTGTGTCATCTTCTAGGCATGGAGCAGGGGGTCACTGCCAATGTTCCCTCTAAGCTGTGGGCTCTTGTGAACAAAAATTCTACTTTGAGAGCTCCTGGCATTAAAGTTGTGAGCGAGCAATTTGGCTACTGCATAAATTAGTCTGCTCTGGAGCCCTCCTTCCTGAGCTGAGACAAAAATGTGTGAGCCGGAGGTTAAAAAACTATGAGCTAGCTCACACTAACTCAGCTTAGAGGGTCACTGCGGGTCTGGAGGGAGGGAGGGGTATTTGTGAATTTCCGGCATTGTGCAGGGGGTTGGACTAGATGACCCTGGCGGTCCCTTCCAACTCTTATGATTCTATGATCTCTGTTCCCTAGAGAGAACTCTCCCTGTTTCACTGGGCAGGGAGCAGTGTTCCCTCTAAGCTGAGTTAGTGTGAGCCAGCTCACAGTTTTTTAGCCTCTGGCTCACACATTTTTGTCTTAGTTCAGGGAGGATGGCTCCAGAGCAAACTGATTTATGCAGCAGCCAAATTTCCTGCTCACAACTTTAATGCCAATAGCTCACCAAGTAGAATTTTTGCTCACAGAGCTCCATAGCTTAGAGGGAACATTGGCAGGGAGTCTTCTTACTTCCATGGAAGAGGTCCTTTGGCCTGAATGGGAGTCTGGTCTCACTACGGGACAACCTGGCCCAGTCTCGCTCCCAGTTCTTTTTGTCTGTGTGAAACCACCTTCAGCCCAGGCTGAGACTAAGACTCTTTCCGTTCGCCAACTGAATTCTTCCTCAGAGCAGATATTCAAAAGTTAAGGTACAGAATCTTCTCTCTTCGCTCAAATCAGGGGAGGAATTTTATTACCTGGGTGCTGAGA